ATTCTCTGTAGACCAGACCTTCACAAATCTGCACTTTTTTGACATCTAAATTAATTAAGGCAAAATTTAATTAATTTAGGTTCACACTGTCAGACATCAAGCAGATTAAAACTCTTGCTTGTTACTGTTGATAACCCGCCAGGTTTTAAAAGTTCAGAGGAGTAAAACAAATGTGACCCATGATCCTGTAGCTTTGGCTAAACATAATGGATTTGTCTGCTCCATGTAAACTAAGAAGTCCAGAGTTCCACAAATGGCTTCACAGCAATTTTGCGATATTGCAATAAAAAATGGCTTGATACTGTCATGGGACTGTGACGGTATCTACAAGGATATTACATATGGTTGTTTCATTGATAATCAGAATTTGTAAACTGACATAGCGGATGCTCCATTATCAACTTTTAAAGCTGTTGTGTACCAGCATTTCAGTTTTCCTGTTTAAGAAATGACACCGATGGAAAGGAAACTGACAAATGCTAAGCAATTTACAAATACTATTATTTAAAGGCAATACTAGCACTGTTTAGGGCTGAGACCAACCTGGATATGTCTTGCAGGAACAATCGGGACACAGCTGTGCGCTACTCTTTAACGGAGATGGGCATATAAATCAGACGCACATATGCAAAAGCAGCCACTTAGTAAGCGCCCTTAAAGTCTTTTCTCTTGAAAGAGTAGATCATGATGAGGTGCTAAAACACTGTTGTTCTACTGTATGGTACTGTATTTTGTTTATAAGTTCCAGCTGCTGCAATATTTTATTTTATTTTATTTCAGAAAAGGACTGCTACTGCTGTCTTTTGTTTTGCAGTTGTACAAACATTTCAGTTTTTGCACATGCTTATGTCATGGCTGCCTGCTTTTATTTTAATAAAGAAGGAAAGCAGGGACACTTTAAGTTTAAAGGAAAATCATACAGAAACATTATTTAATAAAACGTATTTTTTCATCTTTTTTGCTTCATTTATTAATATTGTGATATCTTATGGACTTTTTAGCATGGAAATATCGTACTGTGAGTTTCTGGTAACATTACATCACTAATAAGGTACCAGAAGCTTTTATAAACTGATAAACGCATGCTTAAGCTTGTGATTTGTATAGAAGATGCAAATTGTGCAAATGATCATATAAGGTGTATCCTTTACCCCTGCAATTCTTTTTGTTTTGGTTTAAAATCACAGTGAAATGACATTGTTTTGCCTGATTACGTGTTAAAATGTAATACTGTAGTACTGTGAAACACAGGAGACTTTATTGGAATATGTAAACCAGTGGCAAGTAAATTTTATGTCATAAACAGATGCATGATATTGCATTTTTCATTTACAGTTGTAAGTAGGTGGAAAGGGTTAATACCACACCCTCAGCATGGAGTATGGCCTTTGTTTCATGTCCTGCCCTGTCTGTTGCCTTCCCCTGTATGCTCGCCCATTATAGACCTGCACTGGATTCAACCATATGGCAGCCATTTGGGCTCCAGATGGTGGGCACTGAGGTCACTGTTACACACACACACACACACACACCAACAAGCTGGAGACCACAGACTGATGCTTTTAGGACAGATAAGTGACACACAAACACAGATAATAACATGATAATATTCAAATAATAGTTTAAGTGTTTATGTAGTTGTTTGTGGGGGCACAGTGATGCGGCGGTTAGCGCTGTCACCTCACAGCAATGAGGTTCCAGGTTTGAACCCAGGCTGACTCGATGCCTTTCTGTGCTGAGTTTGCATGTTCTCCCTGTGCACTTGTGGTGCAGTGATCATGTACATGCTACATGGACTCTCCATGTGACATACTTGATAATGCCAGCTGGCATGTCATTAAAACAACAATTAAAATATTATTGTAGATGACACATATTGCACAGCCCTAGTATGATTCTGTCATAAACCTTGACCAGATATTTAGGAACATAACAGTCAATACTGTAGAGTTTACATAGGAATATAATAATCACTTTGTGGGAACATACATAAATCTGTTTATTCAGTCACACTGTGGGGACTCGACATCCTTATGGATTCAAAGAGCAAACCTCCAGAATGTAAATCATTAAATCTGGGAATGCTGACTTGGTTTGAGTTTAAGATGAGATTAGGTTTAGGTTAAGCAAGTAGTTATTATGGTTAGGGTAAGTCTTCAGGAAATGAATGTACGTCCCTTGAATGTGATGGAAATACGACATGTGTATGTGTGTGTGAGCATAGGTCACTCTGCGAAGCAGCATCGACCGGTGGCAAGCAATATTAATAATGAGGAAGAACACACTAATGCACACAGATAGATACAATACATGCACTGTCTCTATGTGGAGAGAGTGTGTGTGTGTTTTCTGATATGGCAGACAGAACAGAGACAGAAACTCACTTGTAAGGGCCAGACTTAAGCCTGAAGGCACAGACACCACTAAGCCCACTCTACACACACACACATGCAGTAAGGGAAATTGTGTGTGACAGAGACAAAGAATGCTGTATGGGAAATGCAATAGGTCAGGAATTGTCTCCAGCAGAGCAGCTGCCTTCACTTTGTTTGCTCTCCTTTTGCAACTAAATAAAATCCCAGTATTTAGTTTGCTGTACAAAGCATTTGCTATATATACATATATACATACAGTATATATATGATTTAGAGGCAGGTCTAGAGAGACCCTTGCCTCAGGGTTGGGCTGGCTAGCTATGGATGTTCTCATTCTGTGTAAATGAACACTGACTTGTGGGAGGCAGCAAACACCTCCTTCAACTCTTCATGAGTTGAAACTAGGAATCTCGTACTTTTGGCCACGCCTTGAACAGTGACATCAGAGCAGGTGTTTTCCATCATCAGGCACAGGCAGATTTTATTCAAATAGTTTGCAGTGACTGACAAGGCAGATTGACTGGCTTGTTTGTTTGGCTCAGGATTCATAGCAACATAGAAAACAACAGGCAGATGTCATGATGGAATGATTTTTTTGTGACTTACAAAATGCACATTAACAGCCACTGTACTGGAGTCTTGGCCAATAAAGCTGATTCTGATTCAGAGATGTCCTTTAAGATGGTGCCTCTTAAGATAAGTGCCCTCCACAGAAATTCTTGAATGTAAAATTTAATTCTTGACTTATATGGCTTGAATTATTTTACCAAATCTTCAAACATGTAGTGATTGTGTGTAGATAGCACTGCTTATTGTATAATATGAGAAGGATTAACTTTTGCAGAAAAAAAAGCTTATACAAACACTTTTTCACAAACATATCTGTGCAAATTCTCAGTCATCCAGGTCATAGTAAACCGCAACCAAAATAACCGTGGAAATCAACTGGACTTGGATTTCTAGATCGAATCGATCTAGAAATCCAAGTCCAGTTGATTTCCAAGGTTATTTTGGTTGCGGTTTACTTTTTCACAAAAGCAACATAAAGTAAAGTGTTATTCATCCACAATCCTCAACAACAGCTTTTGCCCCTGTTGTCATTGACCTCTGCAAAAGACTAAAAGGGTGGAGTTGCTTGGTGATGTTCAAAGACAAAGCAAAAACAACATCTGAACCAAAAGGATGATTGAAGACCTCTGTACACTGCCACCAATCAAAATGTGTTCTCCACCCAGTAATGCATACAGTAAGTCAAAGTGTAGGGCCTGAAAAGGCTCAGGCTTTATTTAATTTTTGCTATTTAATGAGTTTGTCTGGTCCAGATGCACTTAAATTCTGTTGTGATCACAGCAGTTACTGAATGTGCCCTTTGCAATACTGTTTGTTTAAAAAGAAAAGCTTTTTAAGATTGTGTGAATCAAATGTTATTGCAACAGTGACTTCTGTAAGGGACTACTGACTGCTATCATGCATATTTGTTCAACAGCAGTGCTTAAAAATTCTCCCAGCGTAATTTGTGCTATCACTCGTATGGTTCCTTTCAAATAAAAATTCACTGTGCCTCTGTTATGTGTACAGTATGCATGCACACACACTGGTAGATGCGACAGATACCTCAATGAAAGAGACAGAAAGAATCATCTGCTTCTGAACAATAGCAGTGGGATTATAGGATACGATTAAATGTGTTTAATCTGCTTCACATTCAACCCAAGACCCTCCGCAGCCTACTCAGTCAAGGATGTCGGAGGTCTTCTACAATCCTTTGTTATTAACCTTTTAATCTGAACTGGAAGGAAGAAGCAGAAGTGTTCTTCTAAAGGAAAAACTGATTTGTTTAATAGGGTGTGAAAAAGTGGTGGAGTCGGAGGAAGTGGAAATAGAATGATCAGTGAATGGATTTCTGTTAATAAGAGAAAGTGAGAGCAGCAGAATGAGTGTTACTGATGGGAATTCTGGCTCTTTGGGCTCCCATTCGGCTTTTCATTTAGCACTACTACTGGCTTTTATAATTCAGCCAAAGTTAGCAGTGTTTTGACCAATGATTGGTATTTGTGTGCACCTATAGCACTTTAATTATTCAATGTAGAGTGTTTATTTTGAACAAAGAATAAAATTGACGAGGTGTCACATCAAATAATGTGCGGCTGTATCTTTTTGATGTAATACAGAACACAGATGATTTAACTGATGATTTACTATTTTCAGTTTTAATTTTGATTTTACATACCGCCCCAACTTTTTGTGATTGGGGGTTGTAGACAAACCTGTTATGGAGCAATAAGCCTTTCTTTCTGTTATTCAGTATTTTTTTTTTTTTTTTTTTTTGCAGCCCCCTCATCAAATTGTTTGTGTTGCTCCTACTATCATCAAACATACATGTACTGTACTGTATGTGCAGTTTCACTGGGAGGAGTGCAGTCACCCAACATGGTGTACTGGATGCTAAAATTCTAGCATGGAGTGCTGAGCCTATGAACTACCACGGGCACAAGAATGATTTTTATCTCAATGTTCCTTTAAATTAAATAGAACAATGCACTGTAATTGGAAATGTTGATGTTTTTATAAGCATCACGATATAACTAACAAAGGATTTTGTCTGTCCTTCTGTCCACCTTTAAGAGGATGAACCTGTAGTTTTTGGCACCAATTCCCTCCAGAGGCGTAAAAAGGGGCTGGGCTTAACTGGACTGCGCACCCCTGGCGCAGGATCCACCCATTCAAAGAACAGAACAGGCCTAATGATTGGCATGCCACAGAACTTCAGACAGGTCTCATCCATTATTGATGTGGACATCTTACCTGAGACGCACCGACGTGTACGACTCCACAAGCATGGTACCCACAAACCGCTGGGCTTCTACATTCGTGATGGGGTGAGCGTGCGGGTGACACCACAGGGTGTAGAGAAGGTGAGATCAAATATTCCATTTCAGGCTGACATTTTTAGAAAAACTGATATAAAATGTCACAGTCATGTTTCTTCAGATGAATTAACAATGGTCTTCATCTTCCTTACATGTGAAGTGAAAACCAGCCTGAGTGCTCTGAATATGCTGCTAGATACGTTTCTGAAAGGTGTCTCAGCCTCAGTCATTTTTTGCTATCCTGATAATATGAGAGGTTTTAGGAGCATTTCCTAATTCCTAATCAGTAGATAATTATCACATTGTCATTCTTGTCAAAAGCTTTGTGGCAACATTTCTGAGCAGGGGAAGGTTAGAAATTCTCACAATGGGCACCATCAATTGTAAAGGGGGAGTTTGAAGATTTAGTGTAGATGTCATGAATCAACATCAGTACACAGTATCTCCAGCACAGTATATCAAACTTGTATCGATCAAATGTTTTTGCCCATCGGGCCTTCATCAGTGTGGACTGAACATCTGATGAATAAAAGCTTGAAGTATTGGAGAAGAGTTGTACAGAGTGTTTTGATGTTGATGGATTAGTTTGAGGCCCACACTGCTCTGTGCCCTGCTGTGTGTGTGTGTGTGCATTCTCAAAAGGAAAGAAAATGTAGAGCCTGCCATCCAAAATTAGTGAGTGAGTTGCTTTACTTTTGCTCAAGCAATTTGTTTTTGTGCACTAAATAACAAATAACAAAACATGACGACATTTTAAAAATGGCACTGTAGGCACCAGTGATACAGGTTGAACTTTATATAGCACAATGATCAGCAACAACATGACAGCAACATCAAAAGAAGGTATTGATAAAATATGGCATATAATGGTAATCTTACTGTATGCATCATAGATTTGGAATAAGAAATCTAGGTTCCCAGGTTTTAAACCCTGTTGCAGAGAGATGAAATGTTTGACACTTTTCCTCTATTGTCCTGTAGGTTCCTGGGGTGTTCATTTCTCGTCTGGTACGCGGTGGGCTGGCAGAGAGCACAGGGCTGCTGGGAGTTAACGACGAGATCCTCGAAGTCAACGGCATCGATGTAGCAGGAAAATCTTTAGATCAGGTAAGCACGGTGTCCAGATGTGGAGACCTGCCAAATATGTCACTGTAGTGGTTTTTGGCTCATGTACTAAGCTAGTTACTACAACATTCAATAAAACAGATTAGGATGTTTACCATTTTTCCTAACTAGTTAATGTACAGTATGCAATTTTTATTTTCATTCTTATCATTTCCCCCGACAGTACAGTAGTATTATTAGCCATATCCATAACTGGAAGCCGATTATTATTATTCCAGTTATCTCACCACAGTGACTGGTGAGATAAATGTAATGATTATATAGATTTTTTTTCAAAAGTGTCTTTGTAGGGTTACCTAAGGCAGGAATGTTACTATGAAATATTATAGTACAGTACACAGAGTATAGCCTGACTTTTCTCACTGTAGTTAAAATGATGGTAAATCAGTTCTATTAGTGGAACGTTAAAAAACCCCATGTTACCATTCTTCTTCCATATTATCATTTTTACACCGCCTTCTTTGTAAATAACTATTTGTCTCATCCTAATTCGACCAGCGAAAGACAGATCGGTTGGTTTTAGGCTGATTCATGATAACAAAACACTAGCAACAGTTAAAACTGTTTTGTAAAAAACAAAATGTAGGTTTATTGGATGTATGCACAAATCTTACATTTTTGACATGGTGCTACATACAGTAACATATTTATCTGTGAGATAGTAAAATTGGCAGATCATTGACAAAATGTTTTGTAACACTACAGTGAACCAATTTTCCTTGGAGCCTTGATGTCAGACTTTTTATACTGGTTACAGGAGTCTGATAAAATAAATGAAACATGGCACACAGTCATACTGTTACAAGCACATGCTAATTGCAAGGACAGCTAAATATTGAGGGCTGTGAACTTGATACGGTGTCAGAGAGAAGAAGAGAGCACCAGGAAGTAAAACACATCTTCCAAAAGTGTGTAGGAGAGGAAACTGTCATTGTTGTGCCTGCCCTTGAATTTGTTTGCACAATAACCAAGTCCTTGAAGTGTTTTTCCCTCCTCTTCCAAAGCTGTGATTCTCTATCTGTCATTCCAGGTTACAGACATGATGGTGGCCAACAGTCACAACCTCATTGTGACTGTGAAACCGGCTAACCAGAGGAACAACGTGATGCATCGTGGGAGTAAAACCTCAATGGGCAACTCTGGTTCTGTGGGCTCAGCTGGATCTACAGGCTCCATTCTGTCACATGACTCACCAAGCCCCGCCTCTCAGAGCAACCCCATCACTGCCAGGTATGACGCGGACAGGACAGAGGGATGTTCTTGAACTGGAGAGCCCAATGCAGAAAGTACTGTGTGTTGCTGTTGTGTCAGATTTTACCAAGAAAAACCACAAAAAAAGAGCAGAAAAGTGGGTAAGAGAAAAAAGTGGAAAGGGGCGATTTGACATAGTGGGAAAGTCACAGAGAGAAAGAGATCCAATGAGGAACAAGCAGAATGTGAGGGAAGGGATCTTCTTTACTGAGCTTTTGTCTAATTTTCATTTATGCCAGGCTGTAAAAGCCTTTAAAACAGAGCTGAGACCGTTCTGACCCTGGATTATAATGACAAATATAGCCACAAGCAGGACTCAGAGAAGAGGAGGGGAGATCAGATGGATGGTCTAGGTTTAACAGTATGAAATTGGTGGGCAGCAAAAGGAGAACAAATATGTTTATTGCATTTGCTGTGTGGAGAATGAAATGCCGCAGAAGGTCCTGGATATTATGAACCCTCTGTGAGTCAAGCAGATATGTAAGCTTCTGGATCCTGAACAGTGGAAAAATATATTTCTGCTGTAATGTCAGCGATGAATGGGTGGGATGACAAGGTTTATGAGGATCAGACTTTCATTCATAAACAACTGTTTATTTTTTCAAATAGCTGCTCCAACTGAAAACAGTTTGGCTTGGCTGATAGACAAACTATGGAGATTATGCAGTGGTTTTGTTGGCTGTGTATATCATATTTGTGGTGGAGAAAGAAAAAGAGTTATGGCACTTTAAGTTGAATCCATGGCAAAACGTTGACCAGCTCAGTCTGGCTTCAAGGCCATATGTCATTTAAAGCTGTGCTAATTCAAATTTGTATATAAACAAAAATGTAGAATTATGAAAAACACTTGTAGTGCTGATCCAAGTTATTAGCAATTCATTAGTTCAATTCAGCTCTATAGTGTTTTAGCACATTTCAACTCACTTGGTTTTGAGGTTTTTTGAGCTAAGAGAAGAAAACAGATCATTGCAGGTTTATCAGTTTTATTATTTTCAGCACAACAAACAGTTAAACATCTGTAGTAGAAGTTAATTTTAAATTAACATTTATTCTATAATCATTATTTGCCATGTCCATTGTTACATAGCAACAGCATTGCAGAAGGCGACAGTGATGATGAGGATGACGATGGTGACATCATTTTGGAGAATGACTCCCTGATGCCCCACGACTCCCACCAGGTAACTGATAGCAACAACGTTAACCTCAACAGAGACTCACCTACCAACGGGCCTCACAGCTCCACTGTGGTCAGGCCCCTCCCTCAGAGCGTCTCATTGCCCAGTAGCGTTGGTGCATCCCTGAGTGACAGCTCCATGACGTCCAATTACAACAGAAACACAGCCCACACAGCCAGTAATCGTCAAGAGAGCATGAGAGAGGACGGCACCATAATAACACTGTGACTGTGTCGACACTGACAGCCACACTGTAACAGTGAGGACCATGCAATGTTATGACACGGAGTGCTGTAACCATGACAACTACAGAAGACAGACTCAGCAGCGCCTTGTTTAAAGGTTCCTTTTGTTGAATCTAGTTTCTCTTTTTAAAGTGGGCGGAGCCTCACAGCACCACGCCGATACAGGACAGAGGGTTCCACCGGCCTCCGTACACTGTGGATGTTCACCATCTGCAGGCCTACCAGCACTGACTTTTTATGTTTCTGCGACATGTTACTGAAGTAATTTGGAGTCTGAATGGTCTGGTCCTGTAAGAAACAAATCATTTACAGCTGCCCAGGGGGTCAGGTATTAACTGGACTTAGAGAAAGCAACAAGACAAGACTAAAAGCTCTGGTAAAAGCCAAAAGTCCATTTGATGTCAACATATGTAGGAACTCATCTCTCTGCCAAAATTACCTGTGAAGTACTGCAAAACTGACAAACCCACAGCAACGCCAGTCAGAGACGTCACTGTCCTCTGCCGGGCAGCTGACCTGTTGGCCACGACGAGACAATGAATGAACAGTATAATGGAGTCAGGGCACTGAGGCCATGGCAGCACAAAGACCAGCACAAGCAGCACAGTGAGTCAGCAGTAGTGTGTGTGCTGCACAGGTCGGAGGTTCATTCAAACAAGGCAGTGCACCAAGAGCACGTGGTACGGCAGTGAGAAGCTGGCCTCGTGTTGCAGAGCCACTCCATTGCCAATCTGATGAGTTTAATCAACAAGGAAATACTATTTATGTTTTAACTAACTCCTACTTGCTTCACAACCCGTAGATTTAGTTGACATGTAAAATGAGAGTTTGTGATTAAAGTCGTCCACATTTATAGCCAGTGAGTAATCGGTAAATCAGTCTGCATCGAGCTCTACATTATTATGAGTGGTTCTTACAGTATCTGGACAAGTAACTGTTTGAAATCAGGCAAATGTAAGATGAATGAGATTTATTTATTTCATCTCTTGTAATTATTTAGATTTTTCCACAATAAATCTTAACCTTAAGTCTTACACCATGATACATCATTCATCTTACTGGTGTAATTCAACACTTATACCCATAAGGGTTTTCTAAATGTGCCTAAACAACAGAAATTGGAAATTCAGTTTCATAAGACACATTACTGAGTAAAATGAGTGGTCGTCTCTATGATATTCAGCCACAGTTCTTCAGAAAAACTGGTGGAAATGTGTCCTGACTTGGTGGAGGTTCTTTTTATAACTTTCAAACTAAATGGAAGACTAAGAAGCAGAGGCAGCAATTCCTCAGCCCTCCACAGCTAAAACTAATAACATATACACATGGATATACAAACAATCAGGGAGCAGGAGTCCGGCAGAGGACTCACTCTTATCTGAGTCATACAGTATGAACCTGTGTGTGAGCTCTGGCGGTCTTACTTTACAGTCTGTAATGGGGCCTAACTCCATCACACACTGGGTGCTCTCTTTACTGTCTGACTCACATTCTGCTTCACCAAAAGACTTTTGGTCTGACAGTCAAACAGTGCCACGATCATGTTTACACAATAGTATCAGTTCTATGATGTACAACAGAAGATATATACTGTGGGATATGTTTTCCATTCATTTGTCAGAAATAAAAAACATGATCCCCTGACAGAAATATTATACGGTGCTCCATAGTCTGCCTGGGTTTGTTGTCCTCTGACAGGCAAAATGTTTGTACTGGTCTCAAGCCAAGCAAACCTGAGAGGAGTCACTCACCAGCACAAGTTATAAATGCAATTCCTTCACAGAGTGTTTGTAAAGTCACTTTTCAAATGCAAATTTTAATTCACTGAGTGTTTACAACCTGGCTTGTTTCCACCCATGCTCACTAGCTTGCAGTCTGCCTCTTCAGGCTTTGCTGGCGTACTGCTGCGGTTTTTGCCACGTTACACTGGACACTACCCGTTTCTCATAGGGGATCTGTGTATGATGTAGGGCTGTGAATGTACGAGGAACCCCAGTTGGATCCACTGTGTACAGACAGCTGCCACAGTCTGGTTCCTGGTTCTGTTTGTTACACAGCTAAACCATAGAGTGAAATGACACAGGGCACTGCACTTTCCTGAAGCACAGACCGATCCCAGTGTGTGTGTCCCACTGGTCTGTGTGTACAGTACAGAAGGTTGGGTCTAACATCTGTTCAAGTTACAGTTCAAATGTAGCTTGAGATGCGGTATCTGCAGTCAAACCCTGGCTACGTACTACCATTAGAACAAGGTACAGTGCTCAGCCTGCGAATGAAACCCTCGTCGCCAGTCGAGCAGGTCATGTACACTCTCTCTCTGAACATGTTGCTTGTCCAAATTCCACTGGCAAACAGCTGGATGAAGTTTAAGGAAGCACGAGGAGCACTTGATTTATCTTCCACTGATGCTTTTCAACAAGATAAGTGAAGTGCACCAGACCTGGCTGTTGTTGTTTAGTGCTGATGTCAGTAAATGTTTAATGTGCAGACACACACTTTCAAAACACAAACATGTCTCTTCATTTAAATATACAGTATGTTAATATGAAATATAAATGTAAACGTGAGATTATGGAGAAGGCAGATTTTCATTACCTGGGAGAAGTTTTTATGTAAGAGAACATTTTATAACGTGTAAAATATGGAGAGTATTTTTCTTATACTTGTACTTTTAAACTGTATATGAGAGGAGTGGGGGACTGTGTGTGGAATGTTGTCACGCTGTGTTCTGTTTGTGTTTCATGAAGATGCCTCATGTAGCTGAATTAAACATGAAGGAAGACTTTCACAGAGACAGGAACTTACTGTATCCATCATTATGTAGAGCATTTGTCCTTGCTGTTACATGATTGGCATTTTGTGTCTCTGTCTAGAAGTACAGGGTTTGAAACAAACACTGGAACATGGACACCAGACTACTGGGGTCCCAAAGGCCCCGGCCCCACTGTGTGGCATTGTGGCAATTTGTTTGGCACCACTGATGTACAATATAAGGTTGATGTTGCCATGGCCCTTATCCTGTCAGCTTAAACTGACAGTGGCTCCTGATCTTGACCATATCTTGTGGCTGAGTTTTGGTGAAGGACCCTGTGTCAGCATGTGCTTACTGAATATTTCTGTTGATAATGATATTGCATAGGGTACATTCTTTCCTTCTTTATTTTTTTACTTCTCTTGGCTGAATATGTTATACACACAAGGAGTTCATTAGTAGTACAGAACCGAGGCAGCCCTCTGCAGCGCCATCTCACACACACACACACACACTTACCCAAGGACACTTCAATATGTGGACTGGGGACAACAGAAATCAAACCGCCAACCTCTTGGTTAGGGGACAACCACTCTACCTCCTGAGCCACAGTCACCCCATTAAATGTAAATGTAGTGAAATAATCACAAACAAACCTAGGTGCCCACAGCCCTGGTGACCCAGCTGGCTGACTGGCCCAGCATTAAAGGAGCAGTCCAATATTCTTAGCCAGAGCGAGGTGAAACGTGGATGGCACAAAGAACAGAAGCAACCACTGGCCTAACTGTAACTTCTGACTCCCAGACTGTCATACATATAAAAGATTTATTTGCTGAATAGGTATAAAATGTGCTTGTAAAAACAGGAAGCTGTGTTTCAGCAGTAGCTTGTCAGGCGCTATTTGTACTAAAAACAGTCAATGTATCCATTTTGACATAGTTCTGAGGTTGATTTCAGTAATGTATGACATAGTTCTGAGGTTGATTTCAGTAAAGCAGCCTAATTATTCTTCACCTCAGTACACACAGACTCCTTTTGTGACTGTGTTGCACAGCTTTCTTTTTGGTTTGAGTGTCAAAGCATTTTGTTTGGTAGAGAAGCATTCCTGACACGCCTGAATGCAAAATGTGTTTTGAATTGTAGCAGAGACATTTTAAAACAGGTTCAGTTTGGCTTCTGGATTTGAATGTTCTGTACTGTATGATAATTGAGGACAACGTAGTTTTAGTCCCGTCCTAGCAGGGTCGTCCCATTTTAAAAAAGCTGATTTTTGTATGGTTTGGTAAGAAGATTCTAAGCCACACTGCCTAAATCAGGCAGCTGTGACATTTTGGAATGTGTGTTTTCCATCTTTGACAGAGTTATGACAGCTAACACATCAGTACTGGACAAGCAGAGGGAGAACTTGTATCCATCTCCTCATCTGACAAGGATCTATTTGGAAACACCAGACTGTTCCTTTAATGAAGGGTAAGCAAGGGCATGAAGCTTGTGGAGCCAGATTAGTTGGATAGTAGTTAATGTGAAAAAAGGTTGGACTATTTTACAGGTGGTCAGTTCAGTTTTCATCGGTTCTCCCCCCGTAGCCTTTCTTTGGATGCAAAATATCACAATTCCCTAATTTAACACTGACAAATCTAAACTACACCGACGACATCCTACTAAACTGAGAATAGCCACTGTGTTTGTTGTGCAATGATCGCGTTGCCAGTGTCACATCACTTTTGGACTCTGATTGTAGACCGTTTCCATCATGGTAGCAGTTCATCTCGGAGACATCTCACACAGTTCTGTGTTGAAGCAAACATGAGGCTGTACAAACCTTTAGAAAAACTAAAAGAAGTGCCTTTTTGAAGTAAGGATCCTTGTGTTTCAGCTGTGTCACATGACAGAGGGCAGCAGGACTTAGCAAACAGCCTGTTGGGGGTTTCACATCAGACACATGTAGCCTGCACTGAGCACACAGCTGGTTCTCTAGGAGTCTGTAACTAAACTGTGAATTTCATTTGGAGATAAAATATGATTATCAAATTATAGTGTTAAGGTAATAAAGTATTATTAAAAGGCATAAAGTGTCGCCTCTTTTTCCTTCATCCTTTTCTCTTGTTTTTTCTTCCTCTCTTATTTGTCTTTGTTCCTGTTCCTCCTTTCTTCTTTTCATTTTATACTTTCATTTTTCTTCCATTTGTCATTTCTGACTTCTTTCTTGTTTCTCTTTTGTTTCCGTTCGCTTTTTTTTGTGTTGCTGTATTTTTATTTCATGTGAATTCTCTTTGCCTGAAACTTTTACGTGCACAGTTTCATCATATTCGCTCAGACAGGCATCAGAAGTGAAATGTTCATACACAGTTACTCCCTCATTGACAAGGACTCGGCTGGAACATGTTTTAACCAACAAGAAGCAGCAGAGGTCTGCATCCAACACGTCTAGATGGTCTCTGGGCCGACAGTCAGTCCCAGACAGCGGAGGTAAAATGAACTCTCATTCATTTGCAGTAGGTAGGTGAAAGAATCCAAGCAGCAGAGAAGGAGACATGGCGTCCGGCTGCAGTGAGTGTAGGAACAGTGACAGAGTGAAAAGTTTGGTCCATCCCTGTGGACTGCTGTTGGTCTGCTGCCTGTTGCAAAGCAGCGGGATTAACCTCAGCAGGGTTGTCTGGGGAGAAACATGATCAGTCTGGACTGAGATGATAGTCATTACAAGACTGGCTAAACAAGCATTGCTGCTGTTTTTTTAACTGAGGCTAACTAATAGAGATGGTTTCTGGAAGTGGGGTTTGAGGGATGGAAGTTGTGAAGAGGACAGAGAGAGGAACAGAGGGGCCACATGGACGCTCTCTGCTTCTGCTTCATTCTCACAAACAAGGCCAAACCCTGCTGTACATAGTGCAGCTCTGGTTGACACTGTTGTTTTATGTATTTTCTAATGTTCTGGATACATACAGTGTTTAGGAACTGATATTGGACGGTTTTTCTCATTCTGTGTTTGCGTAAGAAACCTCGTACTCAACTAACTGGAGAGAAAATGGGGAATCTGGGGTTCATTAAGCCAAAGGCCACATTCAAAGCACAAAAACACAGCAGGTCCACACACACACATATTTAAAAAGGCTTCCTTTGTTTATTTCATTTTATTTTATTTTTTTGCATGTAACAGCACAATGGGGACAAAGTGCAGATGTTGCAGCTATGCCTTCTTCAGTGTGCAGATGTCTTTCTACTGTCTAATGGAGTCCCTCACTTTTTAACTACATAGCTCATTACTGACAGATATGCCAAATGCTTACTTGAAATGAAAGGCGTCAAATATCACCAAAATCAGGAGCATCCTGTCTCAAAGTGATGCTGAAAAACTGGTCCATGCATTTGTTACTTCCAAGCTGGGCTACTGTAACTCTTTATTATCAGGATGTCCCAACAGTTCCCTAAAAATGAATGGTTTAGGCCTTACCTTAAGTATAGATCCTTTTGTATGGGGTTCTGCAAGGCTCAGTTCTTGGACCCCTTCTTTTTTCCCTTTATCTTCTCCCACTCAGTTCTATACTTAGGAAGCACGGCATCTCCTTTCATTTTTATGCAGATGATAGCCAGCTTTATTTACCGGTTAAAAAGGTGAACTCTTGTGTTAGGACACTGCTTGAATGTTTCGATGACATTAAATCTTGGCTTGCTTTTAATTTTTTTAAGCTAAATGAGGAGAAGACTGAGGTGATAGTGTTTGGCGATTCTGCTGGGTCACCCGCTATTGACTTGGCTTTTTCGCTCAATACAATAAGAAAAATATTTCAAATCTGGGTGTTAAGATGGACTCTGACCTGAAATTTGACGGCCAAATTGCAGCTGTCATTAAATCTAGTTTTTTTCAATTAACACAATTGTCCAAAGTAAAATCTATGGTTTCTAGATGGCACTTATTCATGCTTTTATCACCTCCCGACTGGATTACTGCAACACATTGTATCTGGGGATTGGTGAGTCTTCCATCACTCGCCTCCAGATGGTCCAAAATTCTGCAGCACGTCTTTTAACAGGTACAAGAAAATATGAGCACATCTGTCCAGTTTTAGCTTCCCTGCACTGGTTACCTGTTTATTTTAGGTTTCATTATAAAATTTTACTTTTTGTTTTTAAATCCCTTCATTGCTCTGCACCACCTTATTTATCCAAATTGCTTCACTGGCATACACCCACATGTTCTCTGAGGTCAGCCAATCAGCTTCTTTTGAGCGTACCAAGAACAAAGCGCAAGCTTAGAGGCGACCGGGCCTTTGTGGTCACTGGTCAGACAAGCTTCTTCTTTGTCTGTTTTTAAGTCTCTTTTAAAAACTCATTTATTTTCGTTGGTGTTTTGATACTTTATATAGGTGTTGATTTTATTTATTTGTATTGATTCATGTTTTTATATTGTGTCGATCTTATTTGTGCTTGTGGGTTGTGTTTTTGATTTATTGTTTATTGTAATGTACAGCATTTTGGTGCACCTTGGTTGTTTTAGTGCTTTATAAATAAAGTTGGTATGGTATGGTAAAAAGCCTTCAGTTAATCCAAAATGCTGCAGCCAGAGTACTGACAGGAACTAGCAAGAGAGATCATATCTCTCCCATATTAGCTTCTCTCCACTGGCTCCCTGTAAAATCCAGAATAGAATTTATGAGAATGAGAAATCCTTCTCCTAACATACAAAGCCCTTAATGACAAGGCTCCATCGTATCTTAAAGACCTCGTAGAGCCTTATCATCCTAACAGAGCACTTCGCTCTCAGAGTGCAGGTTTACTTGTGGTTCCTAGAATCCACAGAAGAAGAATGGGAGGCAGAGCCTTTAGCTATCAAGCTCCTCTCCTGTGGAACCAGCTCCCAGTCTCAGTTCAGGAGGCAGACACCCCCTCTACCTTTATTATTAGATTTAAAACCTTCCTTTTTGATAAAGCTTATAATTAGGGCTGGATCAGGTGAACCTGAGCCTTCCCTTAGCTATGCTGCTATAGGCCCAGACTGCTGGGGGCTAGGTGTTAGGGTTTCTTCCCCTCTCCTCTCCTTTCCTCTCTCCCTATGCTTCTATATGCCACCATTACACACTGTTGCCAAGTGCTTGCTCAAGGGGGATTTGTTGGGTTTTCCCTATGTAATAATATTGATAACAGTAAGGTCTAGACCTTAGTTTGTAAAGTGTCCTGAGATGACTTTTGTTGTGATTTGGCGCTATACAAATAAAATTTGATTTGATTTGATGTCTTGTTGCTTTTCTTCTTTTGTCTCTCCTCTATCCACTCACCCCAACCGGTTGAGACAGAAGGCCGCCCCCCAAGAACCGGGGTCTTTCGGAGTTTTCTTCCGTAAAAGGGAGTTTTTTTCCTTCCCGTTGTCACCAAGTGCTCACGAGGGGTTTGTTGAATCTCCTTTTCTAAATTTTATAAATCTACATGAATTTGATCATTCACAAACAATGAGTAATACATGGAAATGGG